ACACTACTTTCTTGCCATCCACAAAAAACATCGATCTTGCTCAATTAAACTTATCAACAAGCATTTTGCCGAATAAGGTCATTTCATCCATAAATAACAGCAACATGGAGAGTTCAGAGACAGCACCGAAGTCATCTGTTTAAGCATCGGAGAGTGTTTTATTTAGTTCTTCTTTTCCACTCTTTCACTCAAACTAAAACTGTTGTCAAATTTCCATTACCCTTAACCACAAACAATCCTTCACTTGTGATACTACTCCACTGAAATCTGAGCTATGATGTCATTAAACAATGACTTCCACGTTACCAAATCATATGACCTCATCCTGGATCCACATCACTGGATTTTACTCTTGCAACACCTGTTGTACTTTCTTTGTGCTTGTGACCGCATCTCTCAGCTTTCCTAGTCTTTCCTCCCCTTGCCCTAACTCTCAAAATCCCACCTCAAAGCTCTTCTGATTCGGCCTTAGCATTACTTGAAGTGACAGACCACTGAGGTGACAGCACGTAGAACTAACAATGCTAAAGCTAAAAGCCATCATCAATGTACAGTAGTCCCACCCATCTGCAGTTTTGCCTTCCCCAGTTTCAGTTACTCAAGGTCTACAAAGTTCAAAAATAGGTGAGTACAGTACAAGATATTTTGAGAGAGGAAGAAGGGGATAAGGGGGAGAGAGACCACATTTTCATAACTTGTATTACAGTATATTACTATAATTATTCTATTTTATTACTAGTTATTGTTGTTAATCTCTTACTGGGCCGAAGTTACTAAACTATCATAGGTGTTGTATGCACAGAAAAAAAAACAGCATATACAGGAAAGGGTTCAGTACTATCCATGGTTTCAAGCATCCACTGGGGATCTTGGAATATATCCCCCACAGATAAGGAGGGACTACTGTATTATTACTACCATCTGAGATATGCAAAAACTTGGCTAAGGCAGGTTGTTCCTAAAGATGGCCTAGAGGGGCCTTGCAAATCATCCGATATCATATGCAAATCTGTACACATCTTTCTTTAGTTTCCTCAAAGAAATATGGTCAAAAACAAGTTAGGAACTATTACAGGGAGCAGTATTGTAAAATCCAGTAGCAATGTTATCTTGAACCATCAGATGCAATTCTGATACATTCATAGTATGTTGTTATCAATAGCAATATTATTGGAAAAAATTTGACCTCTAAAGATAAATGGACAAAGATGGGAGTATACAGTATCAATGATGAGATAACCTTAGAAAACAGCAGGTTGTTATTTCCCCCACACCACCTCCAAACACACCGTATTACAGAAAAAAAGTCCTTCTTTGAGAGAATCTGGCTTTCCCCCTTCATTCACAGGACTCTGGGTCTGTGAACTGACACATGTCTGTGAATCAAGGGGCCAGGAATTCTATGTGTGACAATTCAAGTCAGATTTCTATTGAGGAGATCTAGAGCTATTCCTACTTTTAGAGACCAACAAAGACTTGAGGACACTACCCCTCCATTTCTGTTCTAGGGACACCATTCGCGGCATTAAGTAAAAATGAGCTA